AACATGATTATTTCCACTGTGTCGGAGATGCGTGGTCGTGGAAGTGTATGAACACCGCGTGCTGGAATGTAGCTACCGCTGTCAACACTGTCCCCTTGAGGGGCGAATGAGCAGTGTGTAGAGAGAGGAAGCAGGCTGCCCCAGAGGTAGGATAGGAGGAGCAATGGGGTTTCCAGGTAGGGCATCTAGCATTCGCGTCAATTATACACAGGACTAGTCGGGGATTGAATTCGGCGCGTAAGCTCCCTCTCGTCAGTGGCTCCTGTTTGCAATCTTACATCCCCGGGGTGCGTTTGTGCCGAAATTCAAAAATGCATTGTACTGCACTCGGTTGATGATGATGACGAATACCTCATAAATACTCCACACTTTGTGAGTAAATGTGCGAGTGAATCGCGTGCAGGAGAGGCTCTTTTGCTGCGCCGGTTGGGAGCAAATGTGATTGGCTGAAGCTTTAACGAATGGGAAAATCACGCAGTTGGCCAATTGCCTTGTCCCCAAAATGCCAAATTAACCGCATGGGTGTCAACATTGGCATGGCGAACCGGCAATGCAATTTTTTCGCAAAATTTAATCACTGCCCCTTCCGTGCCCAATCTTATTTTATAAAGCGTGTGCGTTCCGAAAATCGTCTACGTCAACGTCCGAGGCGAAAGCAATTTTATATCTTTTAACACACTTCATCTACTGGGATATAAACCAAATATAACGACAGGAAAAAACCGTAAATGGCTAAGCATTTTTAACAACATGCAGTCATGTCTTTACAGGCATTGCCATATGCATTGGATTCGCTTTCATTTTCACTGACCAACGTCCACGTAATTTTTCCTGTATTTATATAGTACATCAAGCGTGCTCTTTATTAGTACGGGTTCGGTTAAAAGTTTTTTTGTTTTAATTGAATGGTGCGAGATTTTATATCTTGAAGTTTAAGTGAATCAGTAGCCAACATCTGGAGAGGAGGATATTTAAGAAAGGAAAAAATATATAAACAAAGCGGTATATTTAAAAACAAAGTATGTATAACAATATCTGGAAGTTCGAAGTGAGCAGTACTTTCCGGAATTTCTCGGATCTCAAGCAGTTTGCCTTCAGGCCTTCCGTTCTGTCCTCTTGAAAGAATCTTTGACTTTTACGAGCCCAGTCCCTTTTGTTGCACTGCATACAGAAGACTCGATTCCAAAGGCAGAAACACGCAAAACTGGCCTCGTTTTACTTTGCAACCCTTCTAAGTAGGCTTCCTGTGGTCTCTGGCGTGTGTTTACGTCTAATCATCCCGTCAAAAAACTATTACATAGGCAACTAAATTTTAGAACATGCCAGATATACTGCAACCCCTTTGACCTTGAACGAGATTCTCGTGGTGAAAATGTTGATGAATCTTTCACAAGAACGAAACGACTTATGTGAGTTGAGTTATGCCAGGAAAATTCAAATTATCAAAGGAAAGGATGCTTGATGTCCAACAAATTCCCAAAAGCACATATTTTTACGATTTTCAAGCAATATCTCACTGGTTCACCTTTTCTGACATCCCACGCGTTTTAAAATTTATAATTTCTTCCACATTAGCCTAGTCATTTCCTCTTTGCTGATTTAGTTCGCCTTACAGCATTCAAATGTCAGTTTACATGAATACTTAATCCATATATATTAATTAGCATGAGTTACTCCGAAAGTAATTATCATTTTTTCCAATTCTATTTAATAAACTCTTTGTTTTTTCAATTGCTGTCAATACTTGGATACAAAGCGATACTTTTCTTTCATAATCTATACTGCAGATTTTTTGTGGAGCTGGTTTGATAATTGCGACTGCGTTCGTTTAACTCAGAATATGCACCATTATCGTAATACACACCTTGCATTAATAGAACCAAATCGCATTTAGTTCTTATTGGTTCAGTTCAGGTTTCTCGGCTAACTGGAAAGGCCCACTAGCAGCTAGTATACACATGTTCGAAGAAGAAGACTTAGAGTCCATCACAGGAATAAGGCACCGCGTATAGTTCTATAGTGTTGAGCTGCGATTGACTAAAACAAACAGTTTTTGGTCTTATTTCGCCGAAGTCACAGAAATAAAGCTTTGTATAAGTTTATTTGTTGATAGGTCGGTCAACGATTAATATATAACCGGAAAAGTAGCCGATTCATTTCAAACTGTGTTAGAATCAAAACTTAAATGTCAAGTTGCTGAATAACGGCCATAGTGTAAATTCCACTTCTTACTGAAGGATATTTAAGTTCAGCGATACTACTCATGTAAGCATTCAGGAAGTCAAGTAAGGCTAGAGGTTGGGAACATTTTGACTCAGAGAGGCAAAAAATCAAATATTTGGAATTATTTTTCAATGAGAGCCAGATAATATATTTTTAGATTGAATTCAGTTAAATGTGTGTATAATATAATGAGTCTACCTGGCCTGCGCACGGGTTAATATGCTCGAGAGGTGTGGCGCGTGATTGGTCGAGATTAAATTGATTCCGCTACGCGTCTTGGCGGTGGCACCTCGTTGGAGGAACCAAAATCACAAAATCTGTAGTTACAAATTCCAATTTTATCCGAGAGACCCAGATACAAACATCACACCTGGCTCTCGGGCCATATGTTCCCGACCACTGAGTTTAGCGCAGCAACGTTTTCGACTAATTCATCATCAGGCACATAAAATAATATCGGGGAGGGTAGAGTCAACAAAACTTTAAGTAACCAATCAGTTGCAATTAAGGGGAATTAAGGAGAGGTTTCAAGGGATCAAAGGGGTCAGATTCTAGTTTTATTTCGGAACTAGAGAGCGGAAAGTGGGTAGGGGATATTTAAGTGCAAATTTCATTAAAGGTCTTTTTCTAACGTTATTGTATGTGCTCGAATTTTGGAATGATCAGGCCTTCTGCACATCACAAATTTTAGTCTACATACTTACAAAAGTTTTAACGTTTTTAGGATGCTGTTCTTTTATAAAAATGCTGATATGTCTAAACAATGTAATATTTGCTTGCTTTTTTAATTCACTTAACGTCACTCCTTATTATTTCAAAGATTTAGTGCCACTTTGCTAGTGACCAACAATCATTCATAAATTTCGGCATCTTTAAGGAGGTAGATCAAATACTGTATAAAAAAATAGCACTCCAAAATTTTAAGCAAAAGCGTCCTTCATTCACTGTTAATAAAATTAGGCACACAAAGCGTGTAACAGTAGAAGATCAAAAGCAATACATAATGGCCGAACACTGCAGGTGCCAACATCATGAGGAATTGTTCTTGAATACGTCGTAAAATTTAAGCAAAATTGGAATTCTTTCGAAATGGGGCTGGCGTTGTGAGGAAATAAAAATTGGTTTAAAGTGGGCGCGCAAGACCGAAAAATGTGTATATACGACATTTGTATGTGAATTAAGAACGGAAAAAATTGGCGGCTCTGTTTCAAAAGTATGTACTGCAAAAATGGCTACTCGAGTAGTATGCACATTTATCATTGATTTTGACTGCTTTTATAAATTCAAATATATTTTATGGAAAAGTACACGAAAAAGTCCTTTCTCGTACTTATCTGATAACAAATTGCGCCTCCTTACACAAAATAATTATTTCATGTACTTGTTTGATAAAAAATTACGCCTACTTTAAATGGAAAATTATTCCTTGTACTCGTTTGGTAGCAAACTACGCCTTCTTCAAATTTTCGTGTTTCTTTTACTCGTTTGGAAGCAAAGTATGCCTGCTTAAAATGTTGTGCTAGACGAACAGGTATCTTTCGGTTATAAAAAGATTTCTAAATTTCTTAATAATTTTGAGACCAACCGACTGCTACACCCGAATTCAAAGTTTACAAAACTGGGCGCTATTTACCTCCTGCTTAAGTGAAAATACCGTTTTGCCTACGGTTTGAAGAAGAAGTCCCATATATCTGATAAAATTTTGCAATAGATAGAGATCATGCTTTATACATTATAGGCAGTATGAATAAATTTGCGGAACGTAAAAAAATCTCATAATTAGAATTTTTTCTAATACCGCAGGATACTCCTTCTTCAAGTATAAAATTTAACGAAAGCGTAATATGCTACCAAGTGAGTACAAAAAATGATTTTTTCGTGCATATGTTCCATAAAATATATTTGAATTTATAAAGGCAATTAAAATCAATGATAAAAGTGCAAACTACTTAAGCAAAAAGTTTTTGCCGTGCATACTTTTTTTAATGATCAGAACGAAGGTCATTATAAAGCTGACAGCCTACCGGGACTGAAATAACTTGAGAGCATGCTACAATATAATCAGTATTACAACCTTACTCAATAAAGTAGCGAGTGAGTATCGATGAATTCGGAGCCAAACTGCATTGCGCCCTCTATGCGCCAATCATCTTTATCGGTGGCTGTCTCTGACAGTATGTTGATGCGCAAATCCCAAGTGTCATGCGAGTGAAGCATCAATTTCCAGTGAAAAGGAAGACTTCAACATCACAGCTTTCGAAGTACCAATGCCTTCCGTATGTGCTGAAACATAGCAAATGACAACATAGTTAATTTATTGGTTGATAATAATTTATGCAGCCCCCTAAATACGACGAGAGAAGATGTAACGCCCGCAATAGAGTTTTCGGCGCAAAGACTCAGGTGTTAGGTTTATGGTTAGTTTAGATTAGATTAGGCCAGGGGGCATTGCACGCTTCTATTTGGGTTAACTCTGATGCAACCTATGGTTAAGTTTGCCGTTAGAACTAGAGTTAATAGTAGCTGTACGGTTGAGGACAGGGCTCGTAAGAGCTGTAAGATTAGGGTTAGCGTTACTATTCGAGCTACGGTTTTGGCTTAGTATAACAACATGAGAATTTGTACCCTTCGTGGAATTATGCGCAGAGTAACCTT